AGCTAGAAAGAGACCTTGTCTCTAAATATAGCCGAGCATTGTGGTGGGCACCTATAATCCCAGCCACTTGGGAGACTAAGACAAGAGAATTGCTTAAGCCCAAAAGTTTGAGGTTGCTGTGAGCTGTGATGTCACAGCTCTTTATCGAGGGCAACTAAGTGAGCCTCTGTCTCAAAAAAAAAAAAAAAAATTGCTGTAATCTGGGAAGGTGCATAGGGTCTGTAATCCTACCATTTTGGCAGACCAAAGCCAGGGAGAATAGCTTGAGGTCAAGAGTTGAAGACCAGCTTGAGCAATACAGTGAGACTTTGTCTCTAACAAAAATAGAAAAATTAGTCCGGTATGGTGATACATGACTATAATCCCAGCTAACTTGGGAAGATAGGTAGGAGGATTACTTGAGCCCTTGGGTTCAAGGCTGAAGTGAGCTGTGATCACACTACTGTACTCCAACCTAAGTGAAAAACTGAGGCCCTATTTAAAAAAAAAAAACAACCAAAATTAAAAAAAAAATTGATCTTCATACAGAAATGGAATGTTAGTAGATGGATGTTTTTGGTGTTTTTTTAGGGGGGCGTTGAGAGAGACAGAGTCTCACTTTGTCACCCTCAGTAGAGTGTCAGAGCGTCATAGCTCATAGCAACCTCAAACTCTCGGGCTCAAGAGATTCTCTGGCCTCAGCCTCCTGAGTGGCTGGAACTACAGGTGTTCACCACAACCCCTGGTTATTTTTTAGAGAAGCGGTCTTGCTCTGGCTCAGGCTGGTCTTGAACTTCTGAGCTCAGGCACTCCATCCATCTCAGCCTCCCAGATTGCTTGGACTACAGGCATGAGCCACCGTGCCCCATGGGTGGATAATAGCTTTTAGGAACAAAATTAACCTCTTTGGCAATTACCATATATTAACACCTCCTGAATAAAGTCAGCATGGTAGGTATGTTCAATGAATGACATCGGATGTAAAGAATTTTTGTTCACCAGTGACAACTTTTTTTTTTTTTTT